CGCCAGAAGATGTTGCTTTTCTGTTACCTCCTCCTTCTCTGACAAACTTTCCTCCCAAACGTCTTGCTGTGAAACACAATGCAACTCCATAAGCTCTTCAATGGTCAGCTCTTGGCTGTGCTCTTCCACAAGCTTTTCGATATCACTGTTATCCACCTACAATCCCATGATAGTGGCCAAAGACACAATCTCGTTGACTACAGGTTCCACAGGCAATGTGTTGAACCACTCAAAGTCACAAATCGACAACGCTCTCCGGCCAAAGCTTCTTCCAAGCAGAAGTTAGGGTTCTCTTGTTAACCCCTTCCCCCGCCTTGTCGATGATCTTGAGGCAGGCAACGATGTGGAAGTGATTTTTCCAAAACTCTTTGCGAGTGAGGTTGGTCTCTTCAGTCACCTGAAAACAATGCTCGAAGAGTGCTTTAGTGTAGAGCTTCTTAAAGTTAGAAATAACTTGTTGCTCCATGGGCTGGACTAACGGAATGGTGTTGGGAGGCAGAAACTGGATCTTGATGAGCTTAAATTCTTCAGGGAGGTCATCTTGTAGGCCTGGAGGATTCATGTACACATATCACAATATAACAAAAGTTTGAGAAAATGTGTGATTACAAGCGACATTACGATGCTACTGGAACGAGTGCTAAATACAGACTGATGTAACATGCGCACAATTCGTGACTTTCCCTCTTTTCGCCCCTCGTTATGCGAAACTTCGCTCGTTAAGCAAGTCACTTTTTAACAATGGGTTTTGCTCGTTATGCGAATTACTCGTTAAGAGAGGTTCTACTGTATATCATAGAGTAACGGGAAAAAAGTTCAGTGAACAAATAAAGAGTAGTTATAGAGACAATAAAAGTAAAGTCCCCCAGAACATGAATGATACAGATACTGAGGTAGATATGTCGGAACAGAATGCTACAGATCATGTTGCTTCTTCTTCTTCTTCTTCTTCTTCTTCTTCTTCTTCTTCTTCTTCTTCTTCTTCTTCTTCTTCTTCTTCTTCTTCTTCTTCTTCTTCTTCTTCTTCTTCTTCTTCTTCTTCTATTTCTTCTTCTTCTTCTATTTCTTCATCTTCTTCTTCTTCTTCTTCTTCCTCTTCTTCTTCTTCTTCTTCTTCTTCTTCTTCTTCTTCTTCTTCTTCTTCTTCTTCTTCTTCTTCTTCTTCTTCTTCTTCTTCTTCTTCTTCTTCTTCTTCTTCTTCTTCTATTTCTTCTTCTTCTTCTATTTCTTCTTCTTCTTCTTCTTCTTCTTCTATTTCTTCTTCTTCTTCTTCTTCTTCTTCTTCTTCTTCTTCTTCTTCTTCTTCTTCTTCTTCTTCTTCTTCTTCTTCTTCTTCTTCTTCTTCTTCTTCTTCTTCTTCTTCTTCTTCTTCTTCTTCTTCTTCTTCTTCTTCTTCTTCTTCTTCTTCTTCTTCTCGCAGATATCACCCGCCTCCATTCATCTCTCTGGTTGGACTTCTCTTTCCATTTTGTGACACCAAGTGTTTATAGATCTGCCCGGATATTATCTCCACATCGTCTTCTTGGTCTACCTTGTGTGTCTAATTTTGGGTTTTGTTTTCCACATTTCAGTTTTATTATTCACAAATGCTTGTGCCATAAAGAGACACAGAGAGGAGTTAGGTGTGGTTTCCGGTCCTTTGCAAGTTGTGTAGCTTCTGTTAATGTTGCATTTAATGTAGCGCCTTTTTACTCCGCCCACCCATATCTTTCTTGGTTGACCTATTGACTTCTAGCTTGCTGTTCCTATGTAGTAGGCTCCAGCTGTCGGACGATTGTATTGCATTCTGACCAGATGACGAAATCATTTGAGTTGTTGATGTTTTGTACAATCATTTACCTTCCCGCGTTAACTATTATTATTTGTGTCTAGTCATTCATGGTTCATAGGAGTTTGCAGCATATATTTCTACACACAGGTAGCTGTTATCGCACCTTTCTCCTTTTTCGCTCTAACGACATACGGAGCCGAATTGTTTTCTTATAAAATTACCTTGACTCCCAGGTCGACCCAGCCTTAAATGGGTACCGGGTGCAGTGCCGGGAAGTAAAGGTGGCCGGCGTGATGCTGACCACATCACCCAACTTGTGTCGATTAGTCTATAAAAATATAGGTCTTGCCCTATACGCCCAAAGGCGTGGAAAAGGGACCTTTACTTTTTTTATATTGTACAGTGGAACCTCGCTTAACGAGCATAATTCGTTCCAGAATCATACTCGTTAAGCAAAACACTCGTTATGCGAAACAATTTTTCTCATGTAAATTAATGTAAAATACAATAATGCGTTCCATGTCGAAAAAAAAAAATACTCACAAAATGCTATGTATAACGTTTATTCAAATAAAAATTATGTACATAATGTTAAGGAGAGTGAATCATCTTAATCTTTTCTTCAAACGCGGAACGAACCCACATGGAATGCGAATTTGATTTGCAGAAAAAAAAATCGAAGTAATTATGATACATAGTTAATAATTTTTTTTAACTAGAAAGATGTCTTGAGAAATTTGTTTTTGCCAGCGCTTCAAAATTTGGCGAAAATGCGACAAAGCATTAGCATTAAATAAATTTGCAACGCCATAACCACTTCCTTATTAAGGTGATGCTTCTCAATGTAAGATGCAACAGTTTCCCATGCTTTCAGCATTTCTCTTATTTCGCCAGAAGATTGTTGCTTTTCTGTTACCTCCTCCTCTGACAAACTTTCTTCCAAAACTGCTTCCTGTGAAACTCTTTGCAACTCATTAAGCTCTTGGGTGGTCAGCTCTTGGATGTGCTCTTCCACAAGCTTTTCAATATCACTGTTATCCACCTACAATCCTATGATAGTGGCCAAAGACGCAATTTTGTTGACTACAGGTTCCACGTGTACTGTGTTGAACCCCTCAAAGTCACATATCGACAACCCTCTCCGGCCAAAGCTTCTTCCAAGCAGAAGTTAGGGTTCTCTTGGTAACCCCTTTCCACGCCTTGTTGAACATCTTAAGGCAGGTAACGATGTGAAAGTGATTTTTCCATAACTCTTTGAGAGTGAGGTTGGTCCCTTCAGTCACTTGAAAACAATGCTCAAAGAGTGTTTTAGTGTAGAGCTTGCTGGTCCATGAGCTGGAGTAACGGAGTGGTGTTGGGAGGCAGAAACTAGATCTTAATGAACTTAAATTCTTCAGAGAGATCATCTTGTAGGCGTTTAGGATTAATTACATATATCACAATATAACACACGTTTGAGAAAATGTGTGATCACAAGCGACACTACGATGCTACTGGAACGAATGCTAAACACAGACTGATGTAACATGCGCACAATTCGGGACTTCCCCTTTCCTTGCCACTCGTTAGGCGAAACGTCGCTCGTTAAGAAAGTCATTTTTTTAAACAATGGGTTTTGCTCGTTATGCGAATTACTCTTTATGAGAGGTGCTCATTAAGCGAGGTTCTACTGTATTCCTTAAATGGCTATTAGATACAGTCCTGGGTTGGTAAAGGCGGCCGTTGTGATGTTAACCACATCCCCGACTGTGTGACGATGGTCACTATTCTTTGCGTTGCTCACGGGTGCTAGTAACACATAGATTATTATGTTACTATTCTTTGCGTCCCGCATGGCTGCCACACAACGCTCATCATTTCTGTATTAGGCAATGATTATATTATACGGTCTGATTCCTAGTTTGCATTGTGTGAAGTTGAAAAGAACACATGTGCATGAGTTTATGCTAAGTTAAAACAAAAGGGGCTATGACATTATAGACATTCAGGGCTTTTTGTTTACCATAGAAGAACTAGGTGCCAGTACTCACCACAAAGTGTCTAAAACGATTACGGTATTAACCACAACGTGTCTATTACCGTAGCGCACGAAACAAAGTATGCCTCAGAAAAAGTAGTTAGCACTACGTACTACTGTATACAAATGCCTTGCAGAAACCTTTATGGATACATTTCCCGGGGTATTTATAAGTACAAGACAATGAACGAACAATTGGAAAGACGACAATCTTCGAAAAACTCAAAATGGATAAAGCAGACACTCTAAAGAATTCACGTGAATGACTGATGATGGATGATCACATGTGAAATGACTGATGATGGATGATCACATGTGAAATGACCGATGATGATGATTACATGTGAAATGACTGATGCTGGATGATCACATGTGAAATGACTGATGATGGATGATCACATGTGGAATGACTGATGATGGATGATCAAACGTGAAAGGAAACAACGACATTCTAGGAAAGGCGTCGCGTTGGTAACTCAGCAAGTATGTGATAAAATAACAATAATCTGGGATAAGAACCCCTAAGAAGAAAAAAATAATGTGAAAGTGAAATCAAACAAGAAAACAATATATATTATTTTTTAAAACTGATAAAGAGCGTCCTTTCACCCTGGGAAAGATACCCGTTACCATATTCGTACCAATGTTGTGCTATCAGTGCCAGACATGGACAGTTCATGAAAAATATACAGTGACAATTATAACACGTGAGATGAGATGTACAATAAATGCAGTCGAGAAAACGCAAGCAGAGACGGAGTTACCAACGAAGAACCGAAAACAATGGTAGGTACAGTGCCGATGAATGATTTCATAGAACATCATAGAATCGAATGATTTGGTCATCTGGTAAGAATGGAACAAAAACAGCCTGCAACTAGATCGTGCTGAGGCGTATTGCATGGGAACAACAGTCAGGAGGCCGACCAAGAAAGAAATGAATGGAGGGAGTAAAAGATACACTACAGAAACAGTATGACATTAACACAAAGTTCCAGCTAGCAAAAGACATGGAAACAACACATTCATCTTTTCTGCGATGTTTTACGGCACAACCAGTAGGACAAAAGAAGAAGGAGAAAAATAAATGTTAATATATGTTATGTGTTATAATAGAAGAGGTGACACTTTGAGAGAGATGTGTGTAGATGTGTTGTTACTGCTGTGTTGACCCCGTCTATTTCTGATGTGATGTGTTTTACACTTTTCCAGGTTCTTTCTAGCATCTACACGCGGTCTATCGATTGACATTCAGCTAGTTCTTGGCAGAACGATACGCACCAGGCCCTTGTTCACCTGGATATTACTTGTGGAAGAAATCCTAAAACACACACATTTTGTGATACTTTCAACGTTTGTTGTTTTCTTTCTCATTTCAAACAGTACCCAGGGGGGCAGTTGGGGGAGGGGGAGAGGAGGGTGGGTGTGGGTGGAGGCAGGGGTTTGTGTGTGTGTGTGTGGGGTATAATCACTGGTATTTTTTTGGTAAAGGAATCTATTCCTGTTACACAGTATTTCTGATGTAATTTGGTTTATACAGCGGTCTGCTACCGTCCTCTTCCTAATAAGCGGTGAGTACTAAACTCAAATCTCCACCAAACTCCCTGGGTACAGTGCTGAGTATATATTATTAGAGCTGTAATTTTTTTAAAAACTATGTCAAGTGTGGTTGTACATACTAAAGTGTATATTACATGATTTTTGTTTTTTCCGTATGCACCTTTTTGTCTTAATGGTTAACGAGACTGTTTTTTTTTTTTTAAACAACGACAATTATATTAATTTTTAATCTTTTTAAAAACAGAACAAAAGAAACGGCGATAGTTTGTTTCAAAATTGATTTGGGTTATTTTAAATTTTACAAAATATTTTAAAGACAAATACAAAGATAATATTTTATGGCATTTATCTTCCTATCAATTTAAAAAGGATATGCTATAATACAAAGGTGTGCCATGTTTATTTTGATTTATGCCTATAGAGAGGTATATTTAAACAAAAGGAAAGAAAAAAAAATTGTAGGTATTTATAATAAATGTCTCAGTAATAAATAACAGAACAGGGAATAGCTGTTTTATATATATATATATATATATATATATATATATATATATATATATATATATATATATATATATATATATATATATATATTTAAACTTTGCTGTAGTTCATTCCGGCAAAATAAAACGGAAAAAAAAAATGGAACGCACGCGAGTCTGAAATGGTTAATATCACAATTGTTTTCTGCGGATATATACAGATAGACTGATTTGCCGACCCTAGAACGCGCACCATATAAGTGTCTTCATAGTAGTGGTGATTTAAATTGTGTTATTAGGACTTAAAATGATAGTTTTGTGTGTGTACCACATGCTATTTTGTTTTTAAAATTGTATTTACAGCTAAAGTAAAGCTTACTACAGTATTTCTAAACTACCGACAGACTGACACACACACACACACACACACACACACGCACACACACAAACAAAACCATTTACATGAAAAAAGTAGAGGAGGCGTTATTAAAATATGAATAATTAAAAACAATGAGAACTTTAAAGTCAGGTTTTAAGCTCGATTAAAAAAAAAAAATCATGTTTTAAGCTCTCTAAACAGTGACTGTCATCAACACCCCCTCCCCCTCCCCCATCCACCGACTACTCTCCGAAGGATTTGAAATTCATCACCTGATGATTTTTAATTGACTTTGACATCTGCGTCTACCCAGACTTTAATGAGCTTTAATCTCTCTCAGTTAACAGTTTCTGTCATCACCACCTCCCCCTTGCTCCCAAATGCACCGACTACTCCTCTCTCCCTCACCGAAAAAATGCCTACATCTTCACATTTCCATACACTCTGTCAACAACTCTTCGATACCATAACGTCCAGCTTCATGCAGATTTCTGAGGTCAACACTCAAAGGTTGCCTGTCAGCATAAACGCGGCAAAGAAGAAAAATAAATCGAATCGTCGAAAACCAAACCAAGATGCCGATGTGATCGTCGCTGGAGCTACGCAGCTCATGTATTGTGCAAAACTCTTATATAAAAACACGCGCGTATTCTAATGCAAAGTTGTGTGACATTTTTAAAAATAATCAATGAAGACCTCTAGGCGTAGCTTCATTCAGAGGTCTGAGGTCAACAGTCAAAGGTCGTCCACCAGCGGAACTAAAAGCAATTACGGGCCGGTAACGAAACAAAAACCGATGTGATCGTTGCTGTAGCTTTTTAATTCGTGGTTTGTGCGACACTCTTACATTAAAACACGCGCACAGTCGAATAAAATGTTGTGTGAACATTTGAAAGCAATCAGTGAAGAACTTTCGGAGATTAGCTATTACAACCAACGCACATTTACATAAAAAAAAAAAAAAAATTAATATAGGTATATAAATGAAAGGAAGATATGCGAAAATACTTTTTATAGATTTTTCAAAGAGCGATCAATAAGAATACTAGAAGAACGAATGGCACATGTATGAGAAGAGTGTAATAAATGCTGCTACAGGCTTATAAAAATCTAAGAGACATATATTGATAAGTGACTTGACCATCTCCTTTCCATGTAGCCTTTCAAACTTACATACATGTACAAAATTGTTATTAAAACTGCTAGAGTATCACGAGTTACAAGAAAAAGAAGGAACAAAAAAAAAAAAAAAAAAAAAAAAAAAAAAAAAAAAAAAAAAAAGAAAATTCAATCCTGAGAATGTGAATACCCCACCAGTGAGATACCAGCTAAGCCATTCTTCTTTTGTCTTTTGTCCATATTATGCTTTGTGTCCCGACAGGTCGCAAGTTACCGAGTGATCGGTATCTGAGCTAGGGCACGTTCGGTTACCTGGTATGCTTTGCTATAATTAGGACCCCTTCGAGCCTCTTCTTCTTGGTCATCCTATACCTCTTGGAGTTTCTACTTTCATGTTGTACCATCTCGTTACTAGCATCATTGTATTCATTCTCATTAAATAGCAAGCGCTCTCCGGTTTTAGTTTTACTTTTTCTTATTCTTTTTTCTTTTGCCCCACTTCACTGCGTTTCCCTTAAAGTATTGCAAAGAGGAGTTACATGTAATTTCCTATTTTTTACGTCCTTTTTAGGACGTAATTTTTTGTTATTGAGGCTCCACTCAAAAGCCCCGCTTTTGCCAGGGGCCGCAAAATAGGCAGGTCATCAATATGGCCAATTGTCTGAACGCGGTTTCTGGGACCTCTCCACGGTGATCCTCATCCACATGGTGGCACTTTGTGTCATGGGGTGTTTATCGCTTGTGTGATGTCCTAGTGGGGTAGAAAGTCAGTCAGTCATGTAATTAATTTCCTATGCTTTTTTTCCCCCCTTTAATGAATTTAAATACAGGTTTTGTTGCAACAGTTCTTATAATTTCTTTATTTCTCACAAGATCTCTTCTAGTATCTTTCACGGCTTTTCTAAATATCTCATCTCACAGTTGGTCAGTTTTCTGTCGTGTACTTTAATCAATGTTCATGTCTCACACGGATAACACGAGATTGGTATGAATATCGCATTTATAATTTCTCTTTTTGTCTCCCTTTGGGAAAGCCGAGGACTGAGCCCATTATACCCTTAATTACCCTCATTAAAAGAAATAAGCATTATATATTTTAATAAATAAATTGTCTGCATCAGCATCTTTTTTTTTTTTTTTACTCGGAGGCAATTACGCTCGCTTTGAAAATCACTTTCTGACGAAGCCTCAGAAAAATGTATGCTTGATATCCATTTTATGACGTCCATTGCATGATGTCCATTGCATGATTTTCATCGAAGTGTTGATTTAGAGTAATACGTAATATAACACTTTCTTTCTGCATAGCTTTAAATCTGTTTTCAATATTGACACAGCAATCTAATAATTCCATGATGCCTTTTTCAGTATTTACAGTATTGAGTTGACGCGTGTTTTGTAAAAGGTTGCAACACTCGTTTTGCTTTGTTCAGGTTTGTGAATTGTATTCACTGATTTCATTCAAACACTTGTTCTAACATGAACACTGTAAACCTTTCAAATGATTAATCAAAATAAAGGAGATATATTATATCAAACTCAACGCATTTGCAAATTTGTGTACAATAGTTTTGACATATTTGATTGTCTTCCTAGTGGAATGATTGATGTTTGTTACATAAGCTGACTTGTTAAATGTGTGAATAGTTGCTAGTATTTTGTATTCCTTGTCTACTTTTTTGATGTTCTATGTTTGTCTGTGCGGTGTACAGTATTTATTTTCCTTTTGTTACTTAGCTTTAATGTTTAAAATGTCACCAAGTTATCTTTAGTGTATTAACAGATTGAAAATGTTACATTTGAAAGCACCGATAGCAAATAAGAAATTTTCAAAATATTAAAAGGGTATCTTGATAAAAACTTTCTTATATTAAATCTATCATACTTAAGTTAATACATGAAGGAAATAAGGTGTTGCTAACATCAGTAAATACTGTCATATAATTGACCTGCGATCCGGATCAACCCAATCTAATATTGGTAGGAAGAAATGTCCTGGGAAGTAAACCGCTGGAAAAAGAAAGTCGGGAGAAGGAGGATAATAACAGCATGCAGAAGCGAAAGAAGAAGCAGTAGAAGTAGTAGTGGGAGTAGTAGTAGTAGTAGTAGTAGTAGTAGTAGTAGTAGTAGTAGTAGTAGTAGTAGTAGTAGTAGTAGTAGTAGTAGTAGTAGTAGTAGTAGTAGTAGTAGTAGTAGTAGTAGTAGTAGTAGTAGTAGTAGTAGTAGTAGAAGAAGAAGAAGAAAAGAAGAAGAAGAAGAAGAAGAAGAAGAAGAAGAAGAAGAAGAAGAAGAAGAAGAAGAAGAAGAAGCAAGAAGCCGCAAAAGAAGAAGCAAAGAAGGAAAGAGGAAGCAGAAAGCAGGAAGCAGAAAGCAGGAAGGAGGGAGGAGGAAGGAAGAAGGAAAAGGGAAGGAGGAGGAAGAAGAAGAAGAAATTCCACTAGCAACACCATCAGAATTCGAAACAAAAGGAAAACTGTTGTTAATGTTAGCGATTACCGCCACACAAAAGTTGTTTACATTGAAGAAATCTGACGTATAAATGGAAACATTCAATAAAGCTGAGATACGTGGGTTATTTCAAAATCAATCTCTGATTGGCTGTTAAAAAAAAACTGTTTGCTATAGCGACACTGTTCATTCCTTACATCGTTCAGTAACCTTTTAGCTTACTAGACACCAGCCTACAGTTGAATTTATACAGTAGTTAACGAACAACAAATAACTAAAAATGGAAACTGTCATTGCTTGTCGCACCAGAGAAGAAGGAACGTCAGAGCTGAGCATTTTGACCTTCTGCTTCAAGAAAACGAATGACGCCACGGATTTCACTTCTGGCGGGACAGGCAGTGACAGTGTCTGTGTTTATTCTTTATTTGTTTTTGACCCGCTGAACTAATCTGACTATAGATGGGTGTATAGTTAGCTAAAAGGCGACTGAATGATGCAAACAATGAACGGTGTCACTATGACATTTTTTTTAAATTTTTTATTCAACCAACCAATCGGAGGTTAGTTTTAATTTTAAATTTCCCTCGTTTGGCCAATTTCAAACTTCACAATGGCTTAGAAAGACAAATAATGAAAAATAAAAAGATTCCAACATCGATCCGTTCAAGAACTTTTAAAACCGTCCAAATTATAGTTCTTAAATCTCAGGATGGCTCGGTAACCTGCTGGTAATAGCCTGGAAGGGACAAACTAATCGATCGATTAAAATGTTTGGGGCAGGTAGACCGTCGTATTCCCTGAAACAGCTAATTTCTGCAAAAAAATTTGCTACATGAAAAATGAGACCAGAACAAGGAGGTTTAAGCAGGTCAAGAGGCTCGGCCCCAACCATTTAAATGTTAAGAAAGCTTCACACCCTGTTATTACTTTTATTTTTGTTGTTATTAGTATTATTATTTTATTATTATTATACAGCAATTAAAGCTGTTTTAGGGCCCCATTGAGGCCACGTTCCCAACCTGTTTAGTGGTTCCCCGTTTAATATTTTTTTTGTTTTTTTGTTTTATTTAAACATACTGTATTTTCAAATCTATTGTATTTTTTTGACACTGAGCAAATTATTATTATTATTATTATTATTATTATTATTATTATTATTATTAATAAAATTATTAATGTTACTACAAGCAATTGAAGAAGTTTTAGGCCCCTTCTTGGTCTCCATGTTTTAATTGTAAGAAGGCCGTGTAACCCTTCCCCACCTCCCTAAGATTTTTCGTCGGCGTTTCTGCTACTTGGTGAAGGTGGTGACGATAATGATGTTGATGATGGGAACAATAAGGATGATGCTGATGATGATAAATGACACCCAGCATTGACTGTAGAAAGAGTTAACAAGTACTGCTCGTGCACTTTTGCACTTTCCAGCAAGTTTCAGTATACATATTGCCATTGGCCATCTACAACTAGAGCAGTGATTCCCAAGCAGCTACGAACCTCGCACTGATCTCATTTTCCAAGGACCGCACTGACCCCACACGGATGTAGAGTGTTGACCAGATCCTCTGGTCACTGCTGGCTGTCCATTCTGGTCAATCTAAGCTGCGCCTTTATCTGTAGACAATAATGTGTTCTATTCTTGTCTCACGACTGCTCAAAATATAAAAAAAAAAAAAAAAAGGTTAATTTATGTTAAACTAGCAAAATGATTGTAGCTAAAGTTGAGTTTTGAGTGATAAGTGTTTAACTAAGAACTGACTTTGTAGCACTCAGAACATTTCCATCAGCTCCCGCTGTTCAAATCTTCAGCAGCTAGCGAAGAGTTCCAATTCCGAAGGTGCCAATGGCTGTTTGCTTATGTCTCTGTCTTGCCTTACCTCCAGATGTTTAGTGTCCGTAAGATCCTCTGGTCACTCCTAGCTGTATCATTCTGCTCACTCCTAGCTGTACAATTCTGCTCACTCCTAGCTGTACCAGTCTGGTCACTCCTAGCTGTACCATTCTGGTCACTCCTGGTTGTATAATTCTGGTCACTGTACGCTGTACCATTCTGCACACTCTTAGCCGTACCATTCTAGTCACTCCTAGCTGTATCATTCTGGTCACTCCTAGCTGTACCATTCTGGTCACTCCTAGCTGTACCATTCTGGTCACTCCACGCTGTATCATTCTGGTCACTGTACGCTGTACCATTCTGCTCACTCCTAGCTGTATCATTCTGGTTACTCCTAGCTGTACCATTCTGGTCACTCCTAGCTGTATCATTCTGGTCACTCCTAGCTGTACCATTCTGGTCACTCCTAGCTGTACCATTCTGGTCACTCCTAGCTGTATCATTCTGCTCACTCCTAGCTGTAGCAGTCTGGTCACTCCTAGCTGTACCATTCTGGTCACTCCTAGTTGTATCATTCTGGCCATTGTACGCTGTATCATTCTGCTCACTCTTAGCCGTACCATTCTGGTCACTCCTAGCTGTACCATTCTGGTCACTCCTAGCTGTACCATTCTGGTCACTCCAGCTGTATCATTCTGGTCACTGTACGCTGTACCTCTGCTACTCACTTAGCTGGTCACTCCTAGCTGTACCATTCTGGTCACTCCTAGCTGTATCATTCTGGTTACTCCTAGCTGTACCATCCTGGTCACTCCTAGCTGTATTCTGGTCACTCCTAGCTGTATCATTCTGCTCACTCCTAGCTGTACCAGTCTGGTCACTCCTAGCTGTACCATTCTGGTCACTCCTAGCTGTATCATTCTGGTCACTCCTAGCTGTATCATTCTGGTCACTCCTAGCTGTATCATTCTGGTCACTCCTAGCTGTACCATTCTGGTCACTCCTAGCTGTACCATTCTGGTCACTCCTAGCTGTACCATTCTGGTCACTCCTAGCTGTACCATTCTGATCAATCCTAGTTGTATCATTCTGGTCACTCCTAGCTGTACCATTCTGATCAATCCTAGTTGTATCATTCTGGTCACTGTACGCTGTATCATTCTGCTCACTCCTAGATGTACCAGTCTGGTCACTCCTAGCTGTACCATTCTGGTCACTCCTAGTTGTATCATTCTGGTCACTGTACGCTGTACCATTCTGCTCACTCCTAGCCGTACCATTCTGGTCACTCCTACCTGTACCATTTTGGTCACTCCTAGCTGTACCATTCTGGTCACTCCTAGCTGTACCATTCTGATCACTCCACGCTGTACCATTCTGGTCACTCCTCGTTGTATCATTCTGGTCACTCCTAGCTGTACCATTCTGGTCACTTCTAGCTGTACCATTCTGATCACTCCACGCTGTACCATTCTGGTCACTTCTAGCTGTACCATTCTGATCACTCCAAGCCGTACCATTCTGGTCACTCCTAGCTGTACCATTTTGGTCACTCCTAGATGTGCCAAAATTCACTACCACTTGTACAGAGCCAGTCACTCCAAGTTCCGCACGTGCCAGTTCTGGTCACTGTTCTGCAGAGCCAGTCACTCTATCTGCCTGTTCTGCAGAGCCAGTCACTCTATCTGCCTGTTCTGCAGAGCCATTGCTCGCTTGCTCCTAAAGGGCTTTGACCATGTCTAGCTTGCCATGCCAAAATTCACTACCCACTTGTACAGAGCCAACCACTCAATTTGCCTGTTCTGCAGAGCCAGTCACTCTATCTTCCTGTTCTGCTGAACAAGCCACTCTGCCTTTTCTACAAAACCAGCCACTCTGTCTGCTTGCTAGTTTCCCACAGTTCCCGCATACCCAGAGAAAATATTGGGATATCACGAACCTCTCAAACTGGATCCTCAAGAGAGTCTCTCGACCATCAGGGGAAAACACTAAACTAGAGAAACATCAGCTGCAAATAGCTCTAGTGCTAATGATGTTAACATACAGTTTCATTAAATTCGAATATGTTTTTTATTAGCTTGTGGCAAAGATAAATAAATAAACAAAAAGTGAATGCCTTACTGTAGGGATATCACCAGGTCATAAAGAAACAACTTGCAGCTGCAAACAAAACACATAAGCCGTCGATGTCGTCGTTGTTAACTAAGGAACATTTATTTCAGTGGCGCACAATAAAGCATATAATTCTACATCAATATTTTATAAACTTATCCGCATTGAATGGGTGACGTCCATACTACACAAGCCACCTTTACTTCCCATGTAATTTTCTGTTGTTTTCGAGACATGAGAGGCTGCTACCCTAAGATTTGATACCTTAAGATGACACAATAGTAACCTGGATGACAGACTGACAGGACAAATTTCAAATACCCCGTTTAACCTTCAGAGAAGATAAAATCGGGTTACTCGTAACGGCAACACAAGCATGATGTTACCTGAAGTGTAGGCACGATCTGACGTTTTTATTGTTAGTATAACTTTTTGCATCAGTCGGTTATCCAGGTACTGTCATATCAAAGAAGGAATGGCTGGCTGAGCAGTAGCAAGGTCGGGTTCTCTTGCGGAAGACCTAGTTCAGACCCCTCCTGTAAGGCGATGAAGTTTTCCTGTTAGGGACAAAATTAAGAATCCTAGCCTGCAAAGTCCGTGGCGACAGCACTAGCTATGCAGCCGTAAATCCTTAGGCTCTCCCCCCGGTCTACGCTGCCCTAAAAAGTGTTAAATACAGACAGTAGTGGCAGTTTTTGACAGTGACAGTTTTTGACAGTGACAGTTTTGGACAGTGGCAGTTTTGGACAGTGACAGTTTTTGACAGTGACAGTTCCCACAAAAAAGATTACCCGCATAGGAGCTTCAACATTCTCTACCTCATCTTGGCTTTATTGCTTTCAAACTGCTGTTCCTGCTTCTCTTGATACTATCCTCCCACTTGGATCGCTGTCTACCTCTTTGCTCACCTGTCTTCATTGGTCTAATCACTATGGTTTTCATAAGAATTTTGTGTCTCCTAATGTGGCCCAAATATGTAACGTAACTTTTTTATTTTATTTCTTTCATGACCTCTTCAAATACCACACCGGGAAGCAGCATATTTTATTGTTTCCCTAAAATACGACCTATTTTGTATAGCCTCATCTCAGAGGAACGCTGAATAGAGGCAATTACATGGTGGCGTAATCACCAATACAGAACTTCGGGAGCGAACTAAACAAAGCATAAGCAGTAGCAGAAGAAGAAAAAGAAGAAGAAGAAGAAGAAGAAGAAGAAGAAGAAGAAGAAGAAGAAGAAGAAGAAGAAGAAGAAGAAGAAGAAGAAGAAGAAGAAGAAGAAGGAGGAGAAGAAGAAGAAGAAGAAGAAGAAGAAGAAGAAGAAGAAGAAGAAGAAGAAGAAGAAGAAGAAGGAGGAGAAGAAGAAGAAGACGAAGAAAACGAAGACGAAGAAGACGAAGAAAAAGAAGAAGAAGAAGAAGAAGAAGAAGAAGAAGAAGAAGAAGAAGAAGAAAGAAGAAGAAGAAGAAGAAGAAGAAGAAGAAGAAGAAGAAGAAAAGAAGAAGAAGAAGAAGAAGAAGAAGAAGAAGAAGAAGAAGAAGAAGAAGAAGAAGAAGAAGAAGAAGAAGAAGAAGAAGAAGAAGAAGAAGAAGAAGAAGAAGAAGAAGAAGAAGAAGAAGAAGAAGAAGAAGAAGAAGAAGAAAAAGAAGAAGAAGAAAAAGAAGAAGAAGAAGAAGAAGAAGAAGAAGAAGAAGAAGAAGAAGAAGAAGAAGAAGAAGAAGAAGAAGAAGAAGAAGAAGAAGAAAAAGAAGAAGAAGAAGAAGAAGAAAAGAAGAAGAAGAAGAAGAAGAAGAAGAAGAAGAAGAAGAAGAAGAAGAAGAAGAAGAAGAAGAAGAAGAAGAAGAAGAAGAAGAAGAAGAAGAAGAAGAAGAAAGAAGAAGATGAAAGAGGGAAGAGATATACGATAACTTATCGCAAATATTAGAAAGAGCTAATTATCAATTTATGGTCATATTATGAGATGAAGGAAATTGAAACATGTTGTGACAACTCGAAAGCTCCGTAGAACAAGAGACAGAGGAAGGCAACGGGGAGAGATTCTTGTCAGCCTTGTGTCATGGCATGAAGAGGTGACAGCGAACGAACTGCTACATGCTGTTCAAGTTCGCAGATGGCACACAAGCATGATCGCCCACGCCAGTCGACAAGGCACTTGATATGATGATGACGATGATAATAATGACGATGATGATTACCGGATATCTCTGACTGTGCTTTTGATCTTTGCTAGACTTTCCGTAGGGGAATCATTGAACGGTATATTCACTCCTCTTCAATTATAAAACGATAAACACTGCTTGTTTTTCAAATAATTACTTGATAGTTGGTTTATCTCCTTCTTAGAACGCTAATCATTGGCATTAAAAAGCATAACATCCGAACCTGTTACACCAGAAATCTCTGTTTGTGTGTGTGTGTGTGTGTGTGTGTGTGTGTTCGCGCGCGCCCGTGTGGGGTCTGCCAGACTTTGGTAGGGATATCGGATAGGTGTGTAGTCGCCCTTTTTCATCTATAGCGCTAACAGTATTGCTTTTTTATTTTGATACTTTAAGGTTGCTGTAAATGCCTTTGTTAGAACGATAATCAATGGCAATATGACACAGAGAGACAGATAGACACAGACAGACAGACAGACAGACAGACAGACAGACAGACAGACAGACAGACAGACAGACAGACAGATAGACAGATAGATAGATAGATAGATAGATAGAGTGGATCTTTTTTTTAGTTGTTTCCCTTGAATGTACACGTAGTAATATTTGAATTACTTCCCTTGCATTGTTTTCACACCCTCTCTCTACTATGGCGAAGTACGGGACAAACAATAAATCAAATCATTCACTCCATTATAGATTACTAGAATCCGGCATATGTGCTGGCAACGTGTGTTTTTGTTTGTTTGTCGGAATTTAACGTAAAACTACTTAAGGCTTTACAATTAGCCGTATGCATAACAATTTTAACGGTCAGCACTCTTTAGTAAATAGCTAACTTTATCCCATATACAGCTCACTTACCCATACAAGACTGCAGATTACGGATTCTGTTACTCTGGTGACATCATGATCACAGTATACAAAAGGCTAAAAAGACCTTTTGTCTTATGTGATTTTGAAACCCAGAGTACAAATGAAAGATAGAAATCCTTATTACGAAGTTTTGAAAACAGATTTACGACGACTTTTTGGACCCATTTTTCATTATTTGAAGCACCACTATGGCGTTTGCATGGTGACACTTTGTGTCACCCGGTGTTTATCGCTTGCGTGATGCCCTGGTGGGGTACAACAAGATAGAAAGAAAGATAGATAGATAGATAGATAGATAGATGGATAGAAAGAAGAGAGAGAGAGAGAGAGAGAGAGAGAGAGAGAGAGAGAGAGAGAGAGAGAGAGAGAGAGAGGAATGGGGAAGCAGCAAGAGAACCCAGAAAGAAGATGTCCGGTATTAGATATGAGGCCTTAATTAGAAAGACTGTCTACACCAGAGCTATTCAACTGGCGGTCCGCGGACCAAATCTGGCCAGCAGAGGCCTAGCATGTGGCCTACATATAACCGCCAGTTGTATTGTACTTATGATCTTTCTATGCTGGGACTTGGGTCTTGGCCCGTGACGATCCACGTTTTCCAAAATTTTGGCTTCTGATTGAACTTAGTTGAAAAGCTCTGGTCTCCACGATGGAGGGACACCACACCACCTACACATGTCCCTTTTTGGGAAAGGACGCAACTAAGAGAAAGTCTGTTGGCATTGGGAAAGGCAGCATATGTTCCAAAACTGTTTCAGGCAAAGCTACGGTCACTCTACAACAACTACAGTACAAGTACGAAGGGCCGTTTCTTATCTCAGAGATATGAAACATATTTACATGTCTTGATTGTTACGTGTAAATGAGTGTCCATTATTGTAACATAATGCTTCATAACAAATACATCTTATGGTTAAAACTCTGGAAAACAATCATCGTTGATCACTGGCATCATGAGAGCTAATAGTGTGAAACAGCTGGGACATATAGAAAGGATGGCTGATGACAGAGAGAACAAACCGTAGACCACCATGGAAAGGAAATAAGACTTAGGAGAGATAATATGTAAGAAAGTTAGTTGTGTATCCTTTACAAGCTTTTGCAGAACCCACCCCAGCATTTTTTAGCTGTTGTGGTTTTTCTATGTAAATTTTCTTTCAGTAGTTTGCGATTGCCCTTAGAAGGTCGGCTCACGATACCACTGTCAAAGCCAACGCAAGATGGTCTGCTATCAAATCACCTGCAGTTGGGATCGAACCCCGAAATCTGGCATTACAAAGCGCATTCGCAACGACTCAGCCACTGACGCTGATATAATATCCAAGCGGACTAGAGACATTAGTAGGAGTCATCCGCTGGAAGAAAGATAACCAGTCTCAGAGGTGGATGATA